GGTGTCGACCCCGTCGACATTCATCCCTAGGATGGTCCCTATACGTCCAGTGAATTTGACGGGGACCATGAACGAAGCAGCACCATTGAATATCTATGAAGTTGACGAGGCGGAGCAAGAGGCAGCCCGCAGAAGGAAGGGTAAGGCTATAGCCAAACCCAGCAAGACCCGAGATTCGGCGTTCATACGCCTAGGGGACAAAGAGGATGGACCTCGCAAGTCTGCCAAGCTACGTCTTGGTCCTGAGACGGGCCGGACTAACGGAATGGAAAGACATGGCGGGAATCGTCCCGCCCAATCTCATCGTTCTAGGGAATCTGTGACGATTCACCTAGACGAGGAGGAAGCTGAAAGCCAGCCTAGGGCATCGACATATACCAGGCTCTCATACGATGAAGATGACCTGGACAAGATAGGGAGCATAGCGAGAAAGCTACGTGCCCTGGAGGAAAAGGTAGAAGAGAAGGCGGGAGTGAAGAAGCACACCTTGGCCAAATAACCCTTTTCGGCCAGGGTACATGCACAAAAATTGAGGCGGAAGGTCAAGTTGGACGTGGAGAAATTCACTGGAAAGGAGGATCCAGATATCCACCTTGACACCTTCCACAATGCAGCACAGATGGTCGGGTGCACTGATGCTGAGGAGTGTTTGCTGTTCTTCTCATCCTTGAGAGGGAGACCAGTGGAATGGTTTAACGGCCTTCCCCATGGAAAGATTGGGTCATTTGAGAAACTTGCCGAAGTTTTCCGCAAGAAGTACCAGGATAACTGCATCAAAAGAAAGAAGTTCACCTACCTAAACACGGTAGGGCAGAGGGAGAAGGAGTCCTTGACTCAATTCTTAACCCGCTGGAGGGACGAGGTTGACAAGGTAGAAGAGATGGACGATAAGACGGCCATGTCTTTGCTGATGAATGCCTTCCGGTCAGGTGACCTCTACACTGAATTCTGTAGGAGGCCACCCTCCTCTTATCAGGAAGCCTACAGTACGGCATGGGAGTATGCCGAGGCAGAGGTCCTGAACAAGAGCAAGCAGGAACTGGAGGAAGGCTATACACGGGTGAAAACCGATAAGCCGAAGAAGGATGATCAGAGGGGAGGGTCCAAGCCGAGGGCCACATATGATGGGTCTGTTCATCAAATTAGGGATGAGAAGAAAGGAGAACAACCCAAGCGGCCTTGGACAGAGAAGTGGTGCACCTACCACCAATCCGACTCTCACAACACGACAGATTGCCGAAATGTGAGGGTCGTGCTCAGGGAGATGACCTTGAAAGGGGAATTGGGTGAAATATTCGTTACGGGGCTTGATGAAAACGAATAGGCGAGTACTTGAATCCACCCACATGAATATGATCAGGGAAAGAAGAAAGGGTGGATAAGATGTGGTCAAGATTGCTAAGCTTGCTGTAGACGGATCAGTCTTGATGTCTAGGACATGGACCGTTGCATGGGCTGATAGCAAAAACAAAAAAAACAAAAAAAACAAAAAAAAAAGAAACCCTTGAGATAGGGGCCTTGATGTTGAGGTACCGCCTTGAGACAGGCTGGATCCGGAAGAGGATTCGCATCCATACTTACATGGATCCCTACCGACTTTTTAGTCGGGAAGGGTTAGAAAAGATGCCAAAAAAAATATTACCGTCTTGTATGAGCCATCCTTTGTGGATCGGAATGTCTAGGGAAGACTAGAATTTCCGAACACATAATATATGGACGTGCAGGATTGGATGATGGCTGGTTCTCACCGGCATACCCCCATGTGGGAAGATTAGGTTGGCTAGGTCAACCTAATAATTAGAGAATGGCACATTAAAAGACTTAGAACCTGGAAGAGGGGCCCTGGAAGAAGGGTGTTGCCTGGAAGAGGGCTGAACCTTGGAGAGGGTTCGCGACCATAGGACATGGTCAAAATCTCCAAAGAAAAGGTCGGGTCTTGATGTCGAGACTTAAGACGAAAGCCGTTTCGGAACATTCGATCGAAGTTTGATCAAGGTCAGGGTAGAACACGACAAACAGGCCAGATGGATATAAGAAGAGGGCATGGTCAAAAGTGACCGGTCACTTCTTGATGTTCTAGAATGACCAGAAATGGCGAATGGAAAAATCTAAAATTTGACCGGTCAACTTTGAGAAAAGTGACCGGTCACTTTTTTAGTTGGTGGATTTGATGAAATCAGATAAGTCTGGGAAAATATTTTTTGACCGGTCACATTTTTGACCCGGCACCTGGACAGAAAATTTGACGTCATGCTGGTTACGTAGTGCAACCAAGCCATTGGAAGTTGATCGGGACGAATTTAACCTAGACGTTTATTGTTCGACCTGACAAGCTAGAAACAAAGTGACCTGGACGTTTTCAACTCTGGAGACCGGGACATAAGATGACCTGGAAGTATTCAAGCCTCGCATCTAAAATGCCCTTCAAAACTTTCAACCTAGCCTATTAAACCAGGACATGAGATGACCTGGAAACTTATTTTATTTCAAC